TCTAGTTGCTGTACGTGGGACACGGTCTCAGCATGGCCGGAGAAGTGGTGTGTTGGTTCGCGCCCAGGATCCGAACCCGGGCCACCAGCAGCGGAGCATGCACACTTAACCACTAAGCCACGGGGCTGGCCCAAGCCCGGGGTTCTGATCCGAGTAGGAGTAGGAACTGACAGTGCCCTCCCTGAGTAAAGGGCCACCCAGCTTCCGTGTGATTCCAGGGAGATGGGAAGTGTGGAGATGCAGGATCCCTTAGCCTGAGTTTCATTTTGCTGTGTGACCTTGGGTAGCTCCTTTCCCTCTCTGGGTCTCTTTCCCATCCATTCAGGGAGGGCCTGGCTGTGATAACTTCTAAGGTCCTTATTGCCCAAGCTTCTGACCCTGGCACCCGGGAGGAGAGGACATGCTGTGAGGGAAAGAGAGAGAGAGATGGGTCTAGGGGTGCGTGGGGACCAAGGAAGAGGTTGGGAGGAAGGTGGGGTGGAGAAACGATGTGGCCTCGGGGAAGTCACTTCCCCTCTCTGAACATCAGTTTCCACATTTGCCAAATGGGGTCACCATGAAGGTCCTGGACCAGCATGTGGGACAGATATCAGTCTTTTCCTCCCCACCACCAACGTGGGCGACCCATGGGAAGGTGTCAGACCAGGGCTTGGTCTGGCTGCTTTGGCTGGCTGAGCTCCACTGGCCCAAGGTGGGTGGAGGGTGGGGGTGTCCTTCCAGCGTGGACAGGCCCAGGCAGTCCCAGCCCCTTGGCCAGGAGATGACTCAGATGGCAGAAAGAGCTTGGGCTTCACAGCCACCAGGTCTGGGTTTGAATCTCATCTCTGATAATTAGTAGCTGTGAGATCTTGGGCAAGTCACCTAAGACCTCACTGAGCCTCAACGTCCTTCTCTGTAAAATGGGGATGCCCATCCTGGGCTGCTAGGAGGCTGGGATGACATGAGAACAGTGAGGAATGGTGTACCTGGCTTGGGATCTGAGAAGACCGGCTGAGATTTCTCCTTCCTCTGCTTTCTCTGCAGCCCTTACAGCGCAGGCTTGGAGGCAGCACCAAGGCCCTGCTGGCCCTTCTGCCCTGCACCCCACCCCCAGTCTGGACTTAGAGTCAGTCTGGAATCCAGGCTGGAGTGGATGCCCCCTACCCAGCTTGGAGATGCCGGCAGCCTCGGAGCGGCTGGAAGCTGAGCATCCCCCGCTCCTGCTGCCAGAGAAGCAGCTCACGATAAAAGGCTCCTGCTCCACCACGCGCAGGTGTCAGCTTGTGTGGTTGAGAGGGTTTGCTGCAGTGAGAAGCTGAGAGGAGCACAGGGACGGGGGCTGGGGGCTGGGGGCACCCACCTTCAAATCTCTTTCCGATTTCCTTTACTGCTCTCCCCTATCTCTGGCTGGCAGCTTTTCGGGATTAGCTGCTGGTGTCAGGAGCTGCCAGCTGGGCCCGCCTGGCATAGCCGTGGGGAGGTGTATGAGGGCTGTCTGGTAGTTGGGTACAGTCAAGGAAGTGGGTATGTGTCCAGCTTTGGAAATTTGTCCTCCAGGGAGCTGGGAGGTGATGGGGAGAGGTGCACATGGCAGTTGAGCTGCATTGTGTCGGGCACTCACACATGATCTGGGTAGTACATCCACATTGTACAGAGAGGGAAACAGCTCAGAAAGGTGGATTAACTTGCCCAAGGCCACAGAGCTGGTCTGACCCTGGCTGCATCCCACACCACCCAGCGGACTCCCCTCCCTGATGGCTGACACATGAGCTAGGAGGGCTCATCTCCATGCAGGTCAGTACCTTCCACGCCATCGCCATCATGGCAGCTGCCATGTGCTGAGCACCTACCCTGTGCCAGGTGCCTGTGAGGGTGGTGTCCCATTCTACAGACAAGAAAACAGAAGTCCAGACAGGGGAAGTGACTTGCTTAAGATCACACCCCAAATCGGTGATGGAGGCAGATTTGAACCCAGGACAAACTCCAGAGCCTGTGTTCTCACCTGCCACACGTTCAGCAGGCATCTCACAGCTTTGACATGTGTCAAGCCCACAGCCCAAGTGCTTCCCAGGGCTGCACAGATCCCCACTTCGGGGGGGAGCATATGTCACAGAGTAGAAAACGCAGAGGGATGCAGCAGGCACCTCCAGAGAGAAACAGACCTCAAGTTGGCAAATCTCAGGGAAGGGCCTCAGAGGCCCAGATGGGTCACATGTTCACTCCTTGACCAATCAACTGTGCCCAGGGCTGGGGTCAGACAACTATGTAGCAGCCCCCTAGAGACCGTGGTGGCTTAGGGGGTGGAGCAGGGCCTTTGCCTAAAGGTCTGACGCCTGGCCAAAGGTTCTGTTTAAGTTACATCTGCCTCTGCCGGCTTCTTAGCATCCTATTCCCAACCTCTGTGACAAGAGGCTGGGGGGTCAGGGTGGGTCCTCTCAAAACTGCCTTCCTCGTGCCTCGCCTCTTTGTCTAGCTGATGGGCCGTGTCTATCTGGGGAACTGAGGTGCATGGCCGGGGGTCAGTAGCTACCCACGGGACTCGGCTCTGTGCTCCTCATGTGTGAGCACGGGGGGCAAGTAACGTCGTTCACCCGCGGGTCTCAGCTTAAATGTCACCCACAGAGAGATCTTCCCTGCCCTGTTCAATATGAGCAGTCTTCCCCCCACCTCCCCAGTCTTCTCAGCCACACCCCTCACCACAGTCTGTCATTCTCTATTTTGTCCATGTAATGTTTGTCTTTCCTAGCAGATTGTGAGGGCAGGAGGCAGGGCAGACACAAAAGAGACATTTAATAAACATTTGCTGAGGGCCGGCCCCGTGGCTTAGTGGTTGGGTGCCCGCGCTCCGCTGCTGGTGGCCCGGGGTTCGGATCCCGGGCACGCACCGATGCACTGCTGCCCCAGCCATGCTGAGGCCGCGTCCCACGTACAGCAACTAGAAGGATGTGCAGCTATGACATACAACTATCTACTGGAGCTTTAGGGGAAAAAATAAATAAATAAAATTATAACCACAAAGCCAATTCTAAAAAATAAATAAACAAACATTTGCTGAATGAAGTCTCTCTCAACTCTGCTTTCCACATCTGTACAATGGGGTAACAACACCCCCCGTGAAGTTTAAATCACACAGTACCTAAAGCACCCAGTCCAGGCCTGGGATGCAGTTGGAGCTCACGGTCCTGGAGCTGGACTGAGGGCAGGCTGAGCTGGAAGGCTCCGTAAGCTGTAAGGAGGGGGGAAGACCCAAGGGAGCAGCTGGTAAAAAGACGGAAGGTGTGTCACTGATCCCAGGGCTGAGAACGGGGCGCCTGCTGTTATCAGTCTGGGAACTGAATCTGGAAATTTGAACTCCACTCTAGGTTTGAGTTTAGCTCTGCTGCCGTGATTTGAGGCATATCATTCTGCTTTTCTGAGCCTCAGTGTTGATTTGTAAAATGGCCATTTAAAAAAGTCCACCTCGGGCCGACCCCGTGGCTTAGTGGTTAAGTGTGCACGCTCTGCTGCTGGCAGCCCAGGTTTGGATCCCGGGCGCGCACTGACACACTGCTTCTCCCGCCATGCTGAGGCTGCGTCCCACATACAACAACTGAAAGGATGTGCAGCTATCACATGCAACTATCTACTGGGGCTTTGGGGGAAAAATAAATTAATTAATTAAAATATAAAAAAGTCCACCTTGCCAGCTTGTCTCCAAACTCCAAACGCATGTTTTCCCCCTTAGAAACAAAATTACAAACGGTTCCTGGTCCCTCAAGCCACAGGGACCCTGAGCACTGACAACATGCAGCGTGGGGAGGCAGGATGGAGCAGTCTTGGCTGTAAAAGGGCAGCCCCAGGCCTCTTGACGAAGCAAGCACCACCAGCTCTGGTACAGAGGGAGTGGAGGGAGAAGCGTGGGGAGAGGGTGGAGCTGGGGAAGTGCGGGGGTTTGCAGCAGCATGGCCAAGGGTGGTGCACCCTATTCCGCCCCCACCCCCCCGGATGAAAGCCCTGGGCTGGGAGCTGGGGATACCCAGGCTGAATGAATCAGTAATGCCACTGATTACTGATCAGTGCCCTGCCAGTAGCTGCACCCCTGTGTACAAACCTCTTTTTTTTTTATATTTTTATTTCACCTTTATTCTTGAATGACAGGTTTGTTTGCTTTTGTGAGGAAGATTGGCCATGAGCTAACATCCATTGCCAATCTATGCCCATCTTCTTCTATTTGGATATGGGACACTGCCACAGCATGGCTTGATGAGCGGTGTGTAGGTCTGCACTGGGGATCCAAACCTGTGAACCTTGGGCCACCAAAGCGGAGCGTGCGAACTTAACCACTATGACACCAGGTCGGCCCCCAAACCTGTCTCTTAATGGAGAAGGTCTCACGGCCACAGACAGAAAATTTGGCAAAACGAGAAAAGGAAAAGCCCTAGAATCCCACCACCAGGACCCACCTCATCCCATCTTTGTACTTTCTTCTTTTTTTACATAGTTGCCATCATGTGTTCCCTGTTTGGGAACATTTTTCATGAGCAGTCCTGTCTTTCTACCAGTGTTGTACAGCACTTTTATCCATTCAAACTGCTTTTGGGGCCGGCCCCGTGGCTTGGTGGTTAAGTGCGCATGCTCCGATGCCGGTGGCCCGGGGTTCGGATGCCGGCGCGCAGCGAGGAACCACTTCTCCGTCCATCCTGAGGCCGAGTCCCACATACAGCAGCTAGAAGGATGTGCAGCTATGACATACAACTATCTACTGGGGCTTTGGGGGGAAAAAATAAATAAATAAAATCTTTAAAAAAAAACAAACAAACTGCTTTTGGTCTGATATTTGTCCTTCCTCAATAAACTGTGAGCTAAGCCGGCAGGAATCACTTCTATCTGACAGATGAGGAAACTGAGGCACAGAGTGGTTCAGTGATTTGGCCAAGGGTGCCGGGCTGGTGATGCAGGGGTGCCTGGGACGCCCCTCAAGCCAAAAAGCAGGTAGAGGAAACCGGGAAGCGGGGAGGAAGACAGAAAAGACAGCCCCACAATTCTCATCTCAAAATATTTAATTTTGTTTCGAAAAGGATACATTCCCGGCTTCCCTCCCACCACATCACTCCGGCCCACCAGCAGTGACACACTCGCACGCACACACGCACATAAGGCCAATGGGCTACGGTCTGCTTCTCCCTCTCCAGCTGGGAAGAAGGGATGTTCTCTTGGCCTCCTTCCTCCAACAAAGGTAAAGGAGAGAGAGGCCTGCTGGAATGCCAGCTCCCAGGGGAGGATGCAGAGCCCCACACACTCCATCACATCACATGCAGTTAGAAAAATAAAACCAAGTGGTGCTCTGGCATCCCCAACACCGTAAGATAGCAATATCCACCTGGAAGTCATCTTTGCCATTTTCTAGAAAAATTTATTGCACTTAATTAACAGATGTTGAAGGAGCTCTGGGGTGGGGCTTTGCCATGAAAACCAGGGGCTCTCAGCCCTTTGTGTTACGCGGAGCAGAGCTGCCAGGGCCCTGGATGGAGAGCTGCCCAGCACAAAGGGGCCCTCCTCTGCTGGCTCCCATGCCTGCCACCCCGCCTCAGGCTGGAGGACTGCAGGAGCTGCCCACCCAGGGAGCGAGCAGCCCCCCTCAGCAGGGTGATGGTTACCCAGAGTCAAGGTTCGCCGCTAAGTGCCTTCCCCAACCTCAGGACTCAGACAGGCAAACCCTTTCCTTTGGCCAAGAGTAAGTTACCCAGGTCCTCCACAAGGCTGCTGGCCATTGTGAAAGCTCTCCTTTTCTATCTATTTCTATATCTAGATGTACATTTATTACATATATATTCTTGCAACATTCTAGCTCATCCATGATTTGTCTGTTCTGAGGTTGCAATGAGGCTGCTGTGAAGCTAAAGACAGGGCGCTCAGGAAGGGATGGTGCTTCCCAGCCCATCGCAAACCCACGGAAAGCCGTTTACACTGGCTTCTCTAGCCTCCAGTGCTTCTTAGAGGATGTCAAAGACCTGAGCACGGGAGTCTCAGTCTTTGGCTGTCAGCCCCAAGATGGAGAGGGTCCAGGAGGGAGTCAAGGAGATTCCCAATTCCATGACGGAAACTGAGCAGGCACCAAGCCTCTCTTTCTGCAAGGACTCAATTCTTAGGTCTGGGAAGGAGACACGCTTACCTGAGCACTCCTTTTCCCCAAAATGTCAACCTCCATGGACATCTTCTTGTCCCTGCCAGGCTCCTGACTCAAAGGGGCTCTTCTCTAAGAGGCCAGCAACCACATTCTTTCCAAGGAATCACTTTGGGAAGGAAACAGACACCCACTACCTTGCGGGGGAGGAAGGGGAGGGCACTGAACAGGCAGAAGGTGGGACAAAGAGGAGAGACATCAGGCCATCATCCCACCCGCTGGGGTCGGAACATGGACGCCATCCAGAGATTAAATGTCCATCCTTTAAAAAAAAAAAACAAAGAAACACAAACCATACATTTTCTGGCCAAAGAAAATGAAGAGCTTTGAAGCTGGAGGCTCTTCTACCAATAACAAAATGAGAACTGCCCTCCTGGTGGGTAGCCAGACCAGAGGGAGAGTGCCCGGGCGGGCAAGCTGCCCGGGGCAGGACACTGACATGCTGGATGCAACTGCCCTTTTGTGATTACAAGAGTGAAAAGTGTGAACATGGTTTTTATAGAACCACAAAGTAAAAGTCAGGGGCCTAGAGGGAAGGAGTGACCTCCCTTGGCCTCACGGACCCTTGTCAAGGCCCCCGGAGAGGCAGGTGTGCAGGTCCCGGAGGGCCGTGGCATTCCCCTGGTGTGTGGTCCACAGCCAGTGGATGGCTGCCCCTGGTCTTAACATCTGTTAGGAAAAGTCTTTAGGAGTTTGGGCCCGGGACTCAGAGCCACCACTTTAAATAAAGCCAGTGGTAAGCATGACAAAGTGCACCCGTCACCTCTGACCCCTCTTTACCACAGGCTTCCTGCCCTGAGCAAATAAATATACCCATCTTCAGGTGCCCCAGCTGACCACAATAAGCAGAAGGTTCCACAGATTTCCTCACTTAATCTTCTGGGCAGAGGAAAAGGATGAGTCCAACCAGACACAAGAGCAAGGAGCAGCTTTGAGTAGTGAAGCCACGGCTGTGAGGACCCCTCCACACCACACTACGGCCAGGCTTGTGTGAGTGGCCCACGTCCCGAGACCCAGATTGAGGGGACTCTAGCCTGTATAAATGTCCCAAGAGCCTGCTATTCCGTAAGAGTTGTGCTTCAACCCTGGCGACCCCAGATCAGGTGTCCTGCCCGGCTGTCGCCCTCCAGGCAGCTCACACGGAGGAGGGATCCTGAAGCAAGAACTGGGAAGCCCTCTTCTGCTTTCAGGGAGAGCAGACTCTTGGTCTGGCCCACGTCGGACAGCAGAGCAAGAAAAAATGGAGTTTCTCGAGAAACGTGCCCCAGCTGTCCGCCCACAGTGGAAGGTGGTTGTGGAGGCCAGACTTCTAAACACCAGGTGGAAGGTGCATCCTGGCTCCAGGAAGTTAAGCTTCCTAGACGAGGGGGGTTTTCCTTTTGAATCCAAGATTTGAGATTGGTCACTGGGTGAAAAGAAACAGCAGGCTCAGAGGCCCAGTCTAGTGGGACAAACAAAATTCAGGTGGCCTTCATGAGTGACCTGGAGAAGAGGAGATGGAAAAGGTCTCCCTCTGCCCTGTGATCAGGGCTCAGAGGCCGGACGCCCTGGGAGTCTCTCCTCCATGGCAGATGAAGCAGAGAGAGCCATCCAGGCTCAGAGCCACAAGAGAAAAGGGGTGTGGGAGCTAAGAATGGTTGGGGGCACTTGTGCCGCAGGCCCCAGACCCAACCCATCCCAGGCTTTGCAGAAACCCCGCTCCTGTGGCCTGGCACCCACACAGACACCACGCAGCAGCTGGTGCATCTGTCCACCTCTGAGGAAGATGGGAACAGGTGTTTCTCTCAAAGACCTTCTGGGGAGGGTGAGGTGGACGACAGACACCCCGCCTGGAAATGCGCCCTGCTACCTGAGAAGACGTAAGGGTGACAATGGTCACGACTCACTCTGCAGAGACAGGCCTCGAGGCCCAGGCTGGAGATGAGGGGGAGTCAGGGAAGCCTGAGCGCCCTGTGAGAGGAGATCTGTACTCCAGAGGTCCCCTTCCGATTCAACCGGGACATCCAAGAATAGAAACTAAGGCTGATTCACCCGTCTACATAGATTCTCTCGCCCCGCCAGTGAGGAGGCTGGCCCCTCAGAGAAGTCGCCACGTGCACTGGCCATGTGATAATGAAGCTTAAACGTGAACGCTTCTGGAGCAGGTGCGCCGCCATTTGCCCGTGACGAGTCATAAGTCTCCACGCGGGTGGGGTTTCAGGGGGCCCCCAGGCAGAGGTCTGAGGTGCAGGCCGCACCACCCGGGTGGGGGCACGGGTTACAAGGGCCCGTACTTGGTCTCATACTTGGACACGATGGTCTTGCACTTGCCCACCTCCTTGCGTAGCTCGGCCACCTCCGTCCGCAGGGCCGTGTTCTCCTTCTCCAGGAAGGCTGCCCGGATGGTGATCTGGTTCTCCTTCAGGCGCCGCGCATCCCGGGACCGTTTGGCTGCCACATTGTTCTTCTTGCGTCTCGTCCAGTACTTTTCGTCCTGTAGGCAAGTGTCCTCTGTGGGTCTCTCCTTCCCCACAAAGGAACCCAACCTCCTGCCAGCACTCCTTACCCCAGATTCCCCTTGTAACGCATAGGTGTAGCCAGAACGAAAGCAGGGACCCCAGGGAGGAGTTGCAGGTGCCAAGGATACCAAGGGGCCCTGCCCTTTCCCCAGGGAAGCGGGCTGAGGAACAAAGGCCTCCAGTAGCTATGTGGTGGAGGGAAGGGGACTGCACTCACTGTGGCCTGCTCTGCGTTGCTCTAACATGAAGCACTGGCTACACCCTTGCCTCTTTTAGGCATTCTGGTTGTGGCTAAGGGCCTGCACCCCGGGTCCAGTCCCCCGAGTTCAAATCTCAGCTCTGCCACTTACAAGCAGTGAAACCACGCGAGGTCCTTAACTTCTGTGTCTGAGGTCCCTCATCTTTACAAGGGGGATAACAACTAACTCCCCGAGTTGTAGGAGAATTAAATGAGTCAGTATGTATAAGGTGCTTATAACAGTGCCTGGCCTCTGGGAAAGACCACATAAATGTTTCCCATTTTCACCGTCATTATTATTAAAAGCCTCAGAAACCTCCTGAGAGACAAGTATGGTTATTCCAATTGTACAGATGAGGAACCTGAGGCCCAGCTAGGTCTAGGTGGCAAAGTGGGGTTTGAATCCAGGTCTGCCTGACTCCAAAGCTTGGATGAAAAGTCCTTCCTGTGCGTTTTTCGTAGGAGAGGATGGAAAAACTGCAAAACCCTCCTCTCCCCACTCCCCCAGTTCCTACAAAACCATCAGCTTGAAAGCTGCTTGCTTGTCCCTGGGGATGGCAACATACAACTATCTTTTGTCCTTCAAAGTGAGGTCCTGTCCAACCCCAGTTCCTGCGGCCGATGAGCTCTTGCCCGAAGGCTGGGCTAGAGCCAGGGAGCTGGGAACATCTACACGGCTGGCGGCGGTAACGAAAGAGAAGCTACAGGGAGTCACGCTGGGGCCAAATGCCACCTGACTCCCTTTCTTTCTACCAATTGCTGCAGGATACAGCTCTTTGCTCTGAATGCATGCCTTTCTAAAGGGGGTCCCCAAGGAGGGAGGGTCCTCCAGATAAAACCAAACGGGAGAAAGCACAGCCCCTTGGCTCTTGAACTAATGCTGTACCTTCACTTATAACAGATACCAGGTTACCTTCTGCTCATCGGGGACAAAGACCTTCTTGGCCTTTTTGATCATGGGCTGGGGCTTCAGGTCCTCCTCTGCGAACTTGTGCTTCCGAGGGTTGAAGAGCTCCCCGCCCGGCACGCTGGAGAGGACCAGGTCAGCAGGGTCCGGGTTGAAGTTCACATCCACCTCCACGCAGTTGGGGTCGATGGGACTGGGTGTCTCCCTTTCCTTCTCCAGGGAGGATTCTGAAAGACACAGAGGCAGGCGGTCCCGAAGCAGCCCACTGGACAGCAAAGACACATCCCACACCCAGACACCTGCTTGAATCTCAAGGTTGCACAAGCCACTGCCACTTGGAAGGAAGGAAAACCAAAACAGCACCAGCCCCCAAGCCACACTGGCATACGTGATTCAATTCAACAACACAAACGAGGAAAGAATTCTTCCCTTTAGGAACAAAATGCTCAAAAGGAAACAGAGGCCCTTGAAAAAGACAGGATTTTCCAATTGTTCTTTTCCCCTCAGAAATGTTAAGCAAAACATTAAATCATTATACCCCCTTAACTTCCTGTGGTTTCAAGTTCTCAAGTAATGAGAAACAGCTGAATCTCTCCTTGAACTATAATAGGTTAGGGACACAGACTGAATAACAAAACGGCTTCCATTTTTGAATCCCTTGAGACATAGCAGTCACTGTGCTCATGTACTCTTATGACAACTCTGAAAAGGAGATGGGTGTTAACCTTATTTTACCGATGAGGAAACTAAGGCTCAGAGAGACGACATGGTTTTTCCAGGGTCACATAGAGGGTAAGTGACTGAACTAAAATTTGAGTCTGGGTCTGGCCGATTTTGAATCCTTGTTCACCTCCGCCCCACCTGGCTGCCCCTTTCTAGTGGACATTGGATTAAAGGCACTTTCAGAATTCAAAGGTTGTGTGTTATTAGAGATAAGATACAAAAAAAACTATACCTCTGGCCTACTCGTTTAATGCTACTGGTAGGAGTACACAAAATAGTCAGTCAGTCAGTAGATATCTATTGAACACCTACCATATGCCAGGTCCTGTCCTGGAAAAGACCAAGCAGTGAACAAAACAAGTAAAATCCCTGCCTTCATGGAATGTGATTCTAGCGGGGAAAGCTGACATTACATAAGATAAATTAAAAATATCTATAAAAGTGTTAGATGCCATGTTGATATTTGGGAGAAGAACATCTCAGAAAGAGTGGAAATTAAGTGCACTTGGTATGTTCAAGCAATAGCAAAGGAGGCCAATGTAGCAGAAGTGAATGAAGGAGAGGAAGAGTAACAGGACAGGTCCAAAACAGAAAATACAGGGCCTTTAATCCCAATAAAGCAATGGTTCTCAATAGGGAAAGATTTTATCCTACAGGGGACATTTGCCCATGTAAGGATGGGGTGGGGGTGTCCTACCAGCATCTAGAAGCCAAGGATGCTGCTAAACATCCTATAATGCACAAGACAGTCCCTCCCCAACCCCAACAAAAAATTATCTGGTCCAAACGTCAATAGTGCCACTGATTTTGACTTTTATCCTGAGACGGGAGAAGCCACTGGAGGGTTCTGAGCAGTGTGACGTGATCAGACTTAGGTTTTAACCAGATCATGCACATAAACACATTGTATATCCTATTAGAGGGGGTTAATTACAAAGAGGGCTGAGTGTCAGAGGAGTGAATGACCAGGGACCAATGTGGTAATTGTAGGAATACTGGGGGTGCCAAACTCTACATTTGCAAAACAAATAGCCAAGATACCAAAGGCCAACAACTAGAACTCCCATACTCTGCTGCTGGGAGTGTAAATGGCTCCAACCACTTTGTACACTATCTGGCAGTATCTACAAAAGCTGATGCGTGTCCGATGACCAGCCATTCTACTCCTCGGTAAACACCTAACAGAAATGCATATGTCTTTACCAAAAGACAGGCACACAAATGATCACGGCAGTACTATGCATAACCCAGAACTAGAAACACCTCCCATGTCCGTCAGCTGTGGAATGGATAAACTGTGGTGTGTCACACGATGGAATACCATTCAGCAATGAAATGAGCAAACTACTGCTACAGGCAACAACATGGATGATTCTCACAAACAAAGCTGAGGAAAAAGGCTAGACACAAAAGAATACATACTACTTATGTCTCTTCTACAGAAGGAACTGAAAAATTAACAGGGGGAATTCTACTTTCACTTCTACCATGTGTACAATTCTTCATCATAAATCTTACTCCATCTGCACTGCGGTTTTCCTCTCTGTCACAGGAGTATTCTGTAAGTATGTTCTATTTTGTAAAGTGTAAAGTAAATCTATTTTGTTAGTGTAAAGTGATTCTGATGCCCACATAATTTACATGTGTACTATAAAGCTAGCTATAGGAAGCTATAAATGTAAAGTATAGATGTAATTAACTTATAATAGTTAAAAACAAAAAAGAGGACATACTATACAATTCCATTTATAAAATGTTCAACTACAAACAAAATGAATCTTTGGTGATGGAAATAAGGACACTGATTACCTAGGGGAGTAATGACTGAGTGGGGTCACCAGGCACTTCTGGGATACCACCAGTGTTCTAGATCCTGATTTGGGTGGTAGTTACATGGGTGGGCTCACTTTGTGAAGATTCATCGAGCTGTATACTTATGATATGGGCACTTCTGTATGCCATTCTTCATTAAGAAAGTATACTTAAAAACAAAATCAAAGGCAAATGCCACCTAGGTGGCCTAAGGTACAAGATGGGGGCTCATTTCCAGCTCTGTCCCCTACCCACACAGCCTTCTAGGACAACCTGACCAGCACAAAAATAAGCTGCCTGCAAACAAGAATTTGGCTGGAATCAGCTGAAGCCTCTAGCTCTAACCAGTTTATAGGGAAAAAAATGAGGGGCAGATTAACACTAAACGGCACTACAGGGATATAGTCAGAAAAATCCAGCATGAGCAAAAATCTACAGGACAAATAATTCAGTTTCTTCAACAAATAAATTGCAAAGAAAAAAAAAAAGGAGAGGGGACTATATAGATTATAAGAAATTTAAGAGACTTAACTAAATGAAATGTGTGGGTCTTCTTTGGATCTTGATTCAAACAAACTGTAAAACAGACTTTTTGGAAATTTGAATGTTGATGGATTTATTGTCAATTTCAGATGTAAAACTGGTATTTTTGTTGTTTTTTATTTTTATTTATTTATTTATTTATTTATTTATTTATTTATCTCCCAAAGCCCCAGTAGATAGTTGTATGTCATAGCTGCATGTCCTTCTAGTTGCTGTATGTGGGACGTGGTCTCAGCATGGCTGGAGAAGCGGTGCATCAGTACACGCCCGGGATCCGAACCCGGGCCACCAGCAGCCGAGCACACTTAACCGCTAAGCCACGGGGCCGGCCCTTGTTATGTTTTTTAAAAGAATCCTTATATTTTACATACATATTGAAATATTTATGGATGAATTGATATAATGTCTAGGATTTGATTGAAAATAATCAGGTGAGATGAATAGATGAGGTTATAAAAAACAAGACCGGTTATGAGCTAAGAATTATGGAAGCTGGGTGATGGTTACATAGAGGTTCATTATAGTGTCTCTTTTGTTATTTGAAAATTTTTCTGTAAAAAAATAAATAAAAATAGAGCCTGAGAATTCCTTGGGTGTGGGTTCCCTGGGTTCCATACGAGTTCCTGGGTCCTTCCCAGGAGCCATCAGCCTGTATGCCTCTAACTGAGCCTGCAGAAAGCTTTGGGTAGCCCCTGAAACAGGGGCCATGCCTCTTCTGGTGGGTTCATGTCGAAGGAGCACGAAAACCAACTAACCAGCCAACCCCCAGAGGTAAAACAGAACAAGGACAAGAGGATGAAGAAGGAACCTAAAGACGATGTTTGTCCTGGCAGCGAGAATGCCTTCTTCATGCCAGTGCCTAAGCAGTACCTGACTACAGAGTCAGACATCTTGGGTTCAAGTGCTGCATCCACTACCTACCAGCTGTGGGACCTCGGGAAAGTTACCACTCAGGTTCCTCACCTATAAAACCAGGATTATAGTATCAATCCCATAAGATTCTTGTGAGGATTACGGGTTAACGTCTGGCACAGAGTAAGTGCTAAATAAACGTGAACTGGTATTATCATTATTATTATTCCCTGAGCTTCCCAATAATCTGTGGCAAAGTGCACACCGGGGTAAAGAGCAGTGTTGAGGAAATGCAGAATGGGATTTCCATCCTGCGAGGCCTCAGACTGGAAGGGCTGGCTCCACTGTCCTGACCATCAGCAGCACACCAACCAACAGAAAGGCTCCGGCTGCCACTGATGTGACGGCTATTTTTATCTCCAGCCTCAGGGGACTGTGCTGAAGGGTGGGGAGCAGAGAGTTTCTCCACACCGCAGGCCACCAGGACCTCCCGAGAGAAGGGGCTCACTGGGTGTGTGTGGACACAAGTAGCCCTCAGTGGGAAGTGGACTTCCCTGGATGAGACAGGCGGCCCTGCCCAAAGGCCCGTCACCAACCTGTGCTGGACACAGTTTCAGAGGGCTGAAAGATGGCGGTGGAGGAGGATGGTGGGGACGCCGTGGAAGAGCTGGCCGACTCCTTCCCTTCTAGCTCAGCCACAGGCAGCAGCAGGTTCTGGGCCAGGTGGGTGGGGCCGGCGGGGATGCCATTCTCCAGCAGGAACTCGTCCAGATCCATGTACTCCAGGTGGAAAGACTCGCCATCATAGGGAATGGTCTTGTCCCAGATGGGTGGCATGAGGGAGGCTGAGACGGCCATGGTGCTGGCTGCTGCGGCCTCGTCCTCCTCCAGCTTTTCCTTCCCCTTTTCCTTATCTGCACACACAAAATCTGTGATAAGACACCACACAAGAGGGTAACTCAATCCCAGGAGCCTCACACGACTGACCCATCTCTCTCAGAGTCCTGATCCATCCCATGCATCTCAAGAGCCAACTCTGTTCTCCAGTTATAACCTGGAGCTTGAACCAGGCCCACTGGTCTCCTTTAGAGATGGAGCATGCCCTCACCTGTGCCTGGGCTTCCCAGAATGCTCACCACAAGCTCTGAGGCCTGATGTGGTCCCAGGGTTAATTGAGAATGGGCTGTGGGATTAGCATCTGCAGGAGAGAGGCTATAGGAAAGAAATGGAGTTTCTGGCCCTTCCTGGTATTTTAGCAATATCTTAGGAAAGGGCTGATTCCTCAGGCCAAGAACTTTTGTGTTCTCCTGTCCTGTCCCCTCCAGCTATGCTTTTCCACAGAAACCCAGCCTAGGGCTTGAATCCTGGCTCTGCCACCCACCAGCTGTGATTTGTGACTTAGCCATGTTCTAACCTCTCCCAGCCTCAGTGTCCTCCACTGTAAATAAGGATAACCCTGCCTCTTTGAAGATTAGAGATAACGATGTCATTTTGAACATTAAGTCTATTTGTAACAAATACAAATAAATGGAATTGTAGGACCATAAAAAAAAAGACTAGAGATAACATTTGAAAGTGTCTTGTAGAGCTCCTGGCACACGGCAGGCATTCATTGTGACTGAGAGCTTGTTGAGGGCAGGGACCGTGTCTGATTCATTTCTAGATCTCCAGGGCCAATACACGAGCAGGCAGACATCGGCCATGGGACCATGTGTATACTGAATGAAGAACACTGGGTTTGCAAACAGACTCCCTTTAGGTTTATCAGACAGAGAAGGCCTGGAGCTGTCTTTTCAGGACCTTCTTCAGAGCAACCATTTCAAGAGACTTCTATCCCTGAATAAGCAGACAATACTGAAGGCGGGGTTTCTGGGAAGAAGCAGAGGAGTGGAGCTGAAGAAGAAAGCTTGCTCCCATTCAAAGCAAAACTAATAAATTACTGGGGGACCGGATCCCACCTAATTGTCTCAGTCAAAAGTTATGCATGTGGATAGGCAAGAAAAGGCAAATTAAGAAAAAAAGACAAGACAGAAATGTGACAAGGCTAGAAGGAAATCAAAGTGACAGAGAGGCTAATCAGGGAAGCGGGAGATAAAATTATGACAAGTTCACAATGGATTTTCAAATTGAGGGAGACAACTTTGAACTCTGGATTCTGAAGTGAAAAAGAGAAATCAAATATGATTATGTTGGAAATAAACCAGTCACGCTTGGAATCCTACACCACAGACGGCCAAAAAGCAGACTGTTGGTCCAATAAAAATGGACACATGAAGTGAATTAAGCAGGTGGAGGTTTTGACAAAGAGAATTTGGTCACGGCTTCTAATACGAATTAACGTGAATTCTTGCAACTGCCTTCTGTACCAGGCTTTGGTTTAAAACCAAATGGGAAGTAAGAAAGCCAAGCTTTGGTGGGCTGAGTGGGCCAGATGGCCTCCCTATTCTCTTCCCCTGAGATCTCAACTCTACATTCTTTTCAGAAATGACTGTGATCCATGTTGGGTGGGGTCATGGGAATCAAAGGAGGGAGGAGAAGGGAGGAGACAGAAAAACAGCCATACTGAAGGACAAGTAACAATAAAGTCCAGATTTTGCCTGGCCTAAGCGATTGAGGATATTTTTAATCAGTGTGTTTATAAGATGGAGTTTTAATTGTAAGACATGATAAAGGACTAGGCCCATCACTCAGGTCACAGGGATTAACATCAGTGGCTGCCAGTGATACAGTAAAGAGCACCAGACTAAGACTTGTAAGGCCTAGCTATGTGACCTTGAGGAAGCATCCTCACCTCTCTGAGCCTCAGCTTTCCTCATCTGGGAAGTGGGGATAATACCCAATAGGATTGCTGTGGACGAGTAAATAAAATAAGATTCTGTCAAAGTGCTTTGTGAGTATTCTGCAAATGTAAGATATAATTATGGCTAGGGATAGCTATTATCTGGTAATCCTGAACAAGAACCTGACAGATGTGTACACCTGTCCCGGCAGCTTATCGCAGCCCCAGATTTGAAACAAAGCATTGCCTTAAAAACAAACAAAAGAGTCTGTGCACATGAGGTCCTGAAGCAGGAGGAGAGAGCCTGGCCTCACCTGATGTGCTAAAACTATTTATAACCCAACAGTGACAGCCACAGAGATGAGAGCCTCAGAACACATCCAGGAAAGGAAGACAAATGGCATTTTTAAAAAGAAAATTAATTCCCCAAGACAGGTTATTTATTTATTTATTTTTTTTGTGAGGAAGATCAGCCCTGAGCTAACATCCATGCTAATCCTCCTCTTTTTGCTGAGGAAGACCAGCTCTGAGCTAACATCTATTGCCACTCCTCCTCCTTTTTTTCCCCAAAGCCCCAGTAGATAGTTGTATGTCATAGCTGCACATCCTTCTAGTTGCTGTATGTGGGACTCCGCTTCAGCATGGCCAGAGAAGCGCTGTGTTGGTGTGCGCCCGGGATCTGAACCAGGGCCTCCAGCAGCGGAGCACGCACACTTAACCGATAAGCCACTGGGCCGGCCCCCCAAGACAGGTAATTCACAGAAGGCCTATTCCTTCCCAAATCTCTGAACTACACTGATGGTTCTTGGAAATTCAAAGGTCTCAGGCTGATAGCATACTTCAGCGCACCTAAAACCCCACCATAGGTGGCACTCCTGCTGCTCGCTGAACCTCACGTTCCCAGGCCAAAAAACAAGGCCAAACCTGCTTTCCACATAGGCCCCAGGGACCTTTGCGGCCTAGGAAACAAGATATAGCCCAGCCCTGCCACTGTGGCCCCAAAGTCTAGGGTCAGCCTCAAATAAGCAGGTGAAGGGCCTCAGTGGCTTCATTCTAACCCTTATCCCTCTACCTGCCTTCCCCTAATCTCCCCCTCAGAAGGCGCCTCGCATCCCTTCTCCTGACACCCCTCCTCCACGTCAGCAGCAGCCCTGAGGCACATTTCCAGAAAATCTCCAGTGTGTACCTAGTAGTTGGGGATACTCACACGCGGGGATGAAGACAGGTCCTCCTCGCAGAAGGGGGGGAACGCCATATACAAAGACAATTCGCTGTGGTATATCAGCGCACCTCAAACTTTAGTGGACTTTAGAATCACGGAGGTGGGGCGGGGTGCTCCTTAAAATGCAGATTTCCGTCCCAGGGGCCACAGATTTGGTGGGTGAACGGTGGGGCCCAGGAACCAGCATTTTAAACAAGCATTCCAAGTAAACTGACGCAGGCGACCCCAGAGAAGGCGTCCTGGAGCGTCACTTAAGGGGCTGCTGCGACCCCCATCAGCCTCCCCAGTAACCGCTACACGCCGCGCGCGCGCGCGCTCGGGGTTTCCCAATGAGCCTCCTCACAGCGACCCCACCCCACCCTCTCCCTCCCGACCCTTCCCGCCAACCCCCATCTGCCCCAACCTCTCTCAACTCGCCCCCGACCTTCTCTTCCCAACCCCCTTGCGTCGTCTTCCAGGCCCCTCGTCATCCCTGGCCCCATCCCCCTCCGCTGGACCGCTTCACCCTGACCTCCAACCCCGGCCCCGCCCTCGCCCTCACAAGGCCCCGCCCCTGCCGAAACCCCGCCCCCGGGCGCACACGGACCCCCTCCCCTCACCGAGGCGCGCCTCGCGCGGGGGGTTCTCCATCAGCTTCTTCAGGACCAGAGGGAAGGAGCCCGGCAGGCCCCTTTCCCCAGCTGCGCGCCCCGGCCCCGGACCTGGTCCCGCCTGCGGCTCCACAGGCGGCTTCTTTCCGCCGCCCGCGTCGGACATCGTGCCCCGCGCTCTGCTCGCGCGCCTCGCCTCCCCCGCCCGGCCCCTGAGATGGGCCGGAGCCGTGCGACCAGCCGCAGCTGCCGACACGGGCAGCTACTGCGCAGGCGCCCAGCGCACCCCCGCCTCCCTCCATCCCTACCCCGCCTGCGGACCGGCTCTGGCATATTAATTATTCATGAGGCCAGGCCAGCGTCCCCGGACCGCGGCCTTGGATTGGGCCACCCTGCGCGAGGGGCCGGCGCAGCCTTCCGGGCCGTGATTGGTTAGGCCGCCGGGGTAAAAGAGACACGTGCGGGGCCAAGTGAGGCGCAACGCCGCAGGCCCCGCCCCGCCCGCCCCTACGTCACCTGATTGGCGCCTGCTGGAGTCTGTGTCATGGGCCCTTCTCGGCGGCAGCCCCTTCCCTTCCACCGGTAGTTTCGTCTTCGCCTCCCTCTTCATAGCGCCCACCCTCGTTCCGCACCACCGCAACCGCTCTCCCTTCCCTCTCATCCCAATCCCTCCACCTTCCTGATGCGCCGCTGTAGGGAGGCGGGGCTGGGCGCGGCCTGGCCGGCCAGGGGAGCCTATCAGTGAGCCCGCTCGGGCCGCGCGGCCGGCCCCCCGCGGGTCACGTGGAACCGCAGCCGAGTCCAGTAGCATGGGGAAGGGGCGCGGAATAGCCAATGGGGGGCGGGGGCGGGGCCCGGGGCGGTGCACGAGGCGCAGCACGTGCGGGGCTGCGAAGGGAAGGGGAGGCGGGGAGGGGGGAGGCGGGGAGGGGGGAGGCGGGGGAGAGGGGCGGGCCTTGTTGCTCCGGGGACTCTGCCCATGGTCGTGGGACGGGGACGCAGAGCCCAGCCCGACATCCCGCCTTCCCCGTGATCAAGAGGTTGGCTGAGGGCAGGACCGCGGACGGGGATGGCCGGACGAGCTTGGCCGCCGCTGAAGGGGGTGTCGGGTTCCCCAATGATCCCGGGTTTGTGGTGCGGCTGTGGCGGCTCGATAAACACCGGCGTGGAGGGAGCATTCTTGAGGCCCCAGGGTGGGGCGAAAAGGCCCAGCCCTGAGCCAGGGTCAGGGACACGTTTCCGTCCTCCCACTTACTTGCTTGTGACCTTGGGAAAGTCCAGTTGCTTCCCTTGAGCCTGTTTTCTTATCCATAAAATAAAGAGGTTGGGCTAGTTAATCTCTAGTCCTAAATAGCCCTAAAATTTTTTTCCTAAGACCTTCCTTTCCTTTTCCTAGGGGGAAAAAAAACTACACAGGGTAGTGATTACACATTTTGTGGGAGAACCACCTCTTCTCTTAAATATAAATACTCCCTAGGAGTTCCTCAGGAAACACGTAAACACGTAAAAGGTGAGGGGATACACAACTGTGGAGACGTTACAGGAAGCTGCTCCAAAACAGCGCCCAGACCTTTGTACCTCTTTACTGCACAAATCTCACTCCGCTTTAAACCCAAGCAATACTAGACTCTCCCGGCCTAACCTCCCTGAGGGCGGGGACTTGTGCTTGTTAGTCCTGTGTCCTGCCAGTGGCTCAGGGCCTTCCAGTGTGGGGCTGGGGCAATGGTAGAAGGCAATCCTTGACTCATGGGATGGGTGCATGTGGGCACTACCCAGCTAGCTGAAAGTTATTGAGCTGATGCAATCAGAATTTTGCTGGGATTGAGGAGGAAAAAGCAGTTGTGCCCTTGAGCAGGCCTGCAAAGCAAGAGGTTTAAAGGGACTCTGGGTGGTGGTTGGGGCAGGGTGATGGAGTCTGACTCCAGAATTCAAATTCTTACTGCCACACTCGTTATGTTTCATTCACTTTCTGACTCTGATACCTCCAGCCAGTTGCTTCCCTTCTCCAGGTCTCTTTTCCTTATATGTCAAATGAAGGTGGGTAGGATCTGCCTTGTGAGGTTTCCGTAAGCCAATGCATGTCAAATGCACAATTGCAGACCTGCAACAAATGGTAGTTTTTATAATTTTACTAAAACTGATGGGCACAAATCCACTGCTTGGTGTATCCATTATCCCAGGGGCTAGAATAGTGCCCGGGTCACTCTCAATTTAGTGGAAATACTAAATTGTACACAGAAAATATTTTGTGTTGCAGAGGTGTTGTTAGTAGGAATTCTATATGTGGCTAAACTAAGATATCTTTAGGAGAAACTGACCTAGAAGTTTTTAGAAACATTTCAAAGGACAGTCCAAGGAAATTGATTAAAACAATGTATGACGCTTTTTTAAAAATTGCTAATTTGGCCATGGAGAGACTTGTTGGATTAGAGTTAAATGTATATTTTCATGGCTAATGTGACGTTATTGAAGGGGAGAAAAAACGATTCTCAAGGTTTTGGAGGAAGATTTATGGTAACATAACAGTGGAAAGTTACAACATTTGTTTATGACAAAGGTGGGATGTAGTAAGAGGGAGTAAAGATTTAGGTTTCTTTTTTAAGCTACAGTTATCCGAAATGGATAATGCCGTCTCCATTCATCACCTAGCCTGGAGCAACTAACCTAACAGGCAAGCAGGTTAGGGCTTCAAAACTTAGTTTTGATTTAGTTCTCTGTTCATGTACTGACACTCCCCAAAGAGGGTGTTTTCCCTGGATAACCACAGGGTAAACGGTGTGTCACAAACACTGCAGAAACATTGCAAACATGTTCTCTCTCGTGCTTACTTGCAAGCTGAGTGGTGAGCTACATTGCTGACTGGCAGCATTCAACAGCACCATCCTGGAGGCAGGGGCTGTTGTGTTCTGGTCTTCCTTCTCCAGCTGACCTGGGAAGAGCCATAGCAGCCTCTCTCTGACTCCACCTCCTGTCAGTAAAGTGGGAATAACAGATGCCCTCCCCTTTCTCTTAGTGGAGGAATGAAGGTTGTGAGAATTAGCTAATTTCCACAGTGTTTGTGAGCCCTACAAAGAAATGAACTTCATAAAAAGAACATGTTATTATGTGGTTAAGACTGTAAAGCTATGAAGTGGTCCATTAGTGTTCTATAGTAATAGGGTTTCAATGCAGCCACTTCTTGAGGGAATCGTGGTCTTGGGGCAGCGGTGGCTTTGTGGGCTTAGGAGCCAGGCCTGCATGGAATCTCTCGTCAGCAGCTGCCCAGCCACGTGGCCTTGGGCAAGTGACTTATCCTGCCTAAACCTCAGTTATTTTTCTCTTGGAAACAGAGATGGTATGCTTACCTCACAAAGTGCTTGTGAGGATTATGTGTGGGAAGTGATGTCAAGTGCCAGCGTGAAGAGTATAATAAGGGATGGAGGAGCCAGCCCCGTGGCTTAGCAGTTGAGTGCACACGCTCTGCTGCTGGCGGCCCAGGTTCGGATCCCAGGCGCGCACCAACGCACTGCCATGCTGAGGCCGCGTCCCACGTACAGCAACTAGAAGGATGTGCAGCTATGACATACAACTATCTACTGGGGCTTTAGGGGGAAAAAAGGAGGAGGATTGGCAATAGATGTTAGCTCAGAGCCGGTCTTCCTCAGCAAAAAAAGAGGAGGATTAGCACGGATGTTAGCTCAGGGCTGATCTTCCTTACAAAAAAAATTAAAAAAAAAATAAAACACTTTGTATTAAAAAAAAGGGCCGGCCCCATGGCTTAGCGGTTAAGTGTGTGCGCTCCGCTGCTGGCGGCCCGTGTTCGGATCCCGGGCGCACACCGACGCACTGCTTCTCCGGCCGTGGTGAGGCTGCGTCCCACATACAGCAACTAGAAGGATGTGCAGCTATGACATACAACTATCTACTGGGGCTTTGGGGGGAAAAATAAATAAATAAAATCTTTAAAAAAAAATAAAATAAGGCATGGAGTGGGTGGGCTTCCACCTTTCCCTTTATTCAGGTTGTGTTGGGTCAGGAGTGGAATTATTTCTGGTGTGGGGACGAGGCTGTAGGGTTGAGGGTGGGTTATAGAATCCAAGCTACTGCAGAGCCAGGATGTGAAATGTCCGTTTTCCAGAGCTGGACTGGCCTTAAATTCTGCTCTTTAGCGTTCCAGAAACCTGCTAGTCCACCCAAGTTAAAAACTTAATTCAACTGAGCACATGCAGAATAAGAGTATTTCATTAAGCCATTAGACCGATTGGGGGTATTATCACTTCAACTTGAGGCTCAGAAACTTCAGCGTGGGAGCCTTTGGCAGATACCCCAAAATGATCTCTTTGGCTACATAGTCTGCATCTAGCAGGAGAGTATCACTCTGTCTCCTGACTTACTGAAAAATGTGACATGAGCCTGGTGTGTGTGAGAGCCAGGTGCTGAGAAGGCTTCCAGTGAGCTCTGACAAAGCCCAGTTATCCATGTGCTTTGCCAGTACCCAGTGCGGGAGAGCACAGAGCTCTGTTCAAGGGTAGTAACTCAGTAAATATTTGTTGGCTCGCTTTGTTGTTGGTGCTGGTAGGAGGGTTAACAAAACCTTTCAGAGCCAAGTCATATATATTCGGAACGTTATTAACAGTAAATAAGTCATCGTGTCTGATTCACAATCGAACCTGGAGTAACAAACATGAGCCGTCCTTGTGGCAAGTCCGCCAGCACGAGCCATGCCAACAACTGCCTCTTTTCGAGCCCACATACCTGTGGCTGCGCAGTTCTGGGTGGTGGTCTGCACCTTGGTCTCGGTGTGTTCTAGGGGAGAAGTGGTGGGTGGAGGCTCTTCACTAACTCTTGCCCATCTCAATAGTCTCAAGAGTATTAGTTTCCTGTTTGGCTTGCATTTTGTCCACTCCCAGGGTTCGGATTACAGTTGGAGAGCTGCCCCCAAAGTCATTTCCAGAGAGAAACCCTCACCTCCAGCCTCTGCCACGTCTCAACAGCCACTGCCTGACAGCCAGGGTTCTCCAAGTGGAAGCCATGTTGGTGGTGCAGTGGTAGGGTGTGGGCTCTGAAGCCAGCCCCTTTGGGTCTGATTCCTGCTTTGACTACTTCCTGTGTGACCTTGGGCAAGTTACTTAACCACTCTGTGCCTGAGAAGTAAAGGAGTCAATTCAGGCACACTGCTGAGAACAGCACTTGGTGCCTAGCAAGTGCTCAAATGAAGTTAACTCTTACTTTTTTTTTTTTATAATTTTATTTATTTATTTATTTTTTCCCCCAAAGCCCCAGAAGATAGTTGTATGTCATAGCTGTACATCCTTCTAGTTGCTGT